CCCTCAGTCTGACTAACTGCACAGCTTGGTGTCAGAATAAGGTGGAGTGAGGGAGAAGAAGTATGTACATGATCTTGAGCTCTCTGGAAGATAGGCAAGATATAAACCAAGGGTGAGGAATGTGTGGTCTGCAGGCCATATGCAGCTCCTCAAGGAAATTTTTGTGGTTCCCAGGGCCCCAAAACATTTTTTATTGCCATACATACTCTAGGGTGCTTTGAAGCAATTGTACCACATTTTGACACACACACACCAGGCATTGCCTAGCCCTAAAATGGTCCAGATAGGGTGAAAAACAGGGCAAAAATTTCCTCCACATGCAGGGTGACCAACTGCAAAGGAGGACAAGGCTCCACAAAATGTAGGAAATTCATGAAAAATGTAGGAAATTACCAAATAAAAGCTAAGAACACTAATATAAGTGTAAACTCATGCTTCCTAGTCATGCTCAAAATGGAAGACATTTTGAAATTTGTCTTGCACAGACATGTCCTTCAACAGTAGGATGTCTGGTCACCCTGTTCTCATGTCCTAGAGGGCATAAGGGGGCATTTGGCAGCAAAAAAAGGAAGGAAGGAAGGAAGGAAGGAAGGAAGGAAGGAAGGAAGGAAGGAAGGAAGGAAGGGAAAAGAAAAGAAATTGTTGGAGGAGGTCAGTGAGGAATGTAGCCCTTTCCTTGAGCCAAAGCAGTCCCCATCCCTGACAACTGTCCACACCAATATAAATGAAAAATCAATCCAATCCTGATTTTAACTCAGTACTCATTTTTCCTGTTTAAAAATAAAATACATGACTGTATAAAGTATCTTTATACAGGGTATAAGGTAAAGAGGAAACAGAAGCACATATGACAGTTATAGGTCTATAAAGAACCATTTCATGGTCAAAAACCTGATACAGGATCTTTGGTATGCACACAAAACCCCACTACATTTTAAATATGGAAACAAAACCAGGAAATACTGGTACAGGAAAACAGTTTAAGGGGAAAATGATAACATCACCACTTTGTTCACAGAAAAGAAAGCTGAGAGAAAGACTACAACATAATCTGAAACTTTCTGCTCTTTGAGCAGACCCTCAGAAGAAATGAACACATGATATTTTTCAAGATGTGCTTTTCAAATAAATATAATAGATTTAAACAAACAAACAAAAGGCTTCATTAGGAAATGAGCATTTTTCTCTATTCTAGTTCTTTCCAATTAAAGTACTGGTTAAAAATAACTACAATGTTTTATGAAACTGAACTTATCTCTTTTAGTTAAAAAATATTTTTCAACTTTGTTCATGTCATAACAGAAGAAAAGAGCATCATCACATAGATAGTGGCAAATTCAAAACCAGTGACTCAAGGTGCATCTACACTGTAAAAATAATGCAGTTTAACACCACTTTAAGTGCTGTTGCTCCACCCTAAGGAATCCTGGGATGTGTAGTTTTACTAGGTCTTTAGCCTTCCCTACTAAAGAGTGCTGATGCCTTACAAAAGAACAATGGCAGTTAATGTTGTTGTCAAACCATTATTTCTACAGTGTGGATGCACCCTCAGTCTGTCTGAAATATGTAGTTACTGCTATAGAGAAAGCAGAATGAGATTTATTTTAGAATTAGATGGAATACTTTTATTCAATATCAACAAACAAATAATTGAAGCAAAATTGTATTATTAAAATGGGTAACTGTAGGAACTATTAAAGCTGTCAATCATCTTACTTCTAAATATGATGCACTGATCTGTGTTTAGTAAACAGCTACACCAATTCTGTATTCTAATTTGGATTATCAATAATTCTTTTGTATCAACAGTCATTTTAATTTAAAATCATGTGGTACTCAGCCATGGGAATTTAAGCTCCCCAATCCCAATCAAAAATTACTTCTCTACTCCACAAAATAGTATGAGGGATTGCTGAGGAGGAGGGAAGACATGTTACCTTATCCTTCTGTGCATAAAAGCAAGGAGCTTTGATCTCACCAGTAAAAGGGAAAAATTAAAACTTTCACAATTAAAAAACTATGCATATGTACACTCCATAGTTCTCTTCCACAGCCTATGGTACTGTTGTTCATACTGCAAAAAAACCCACCAGGCACATTTACTTGTCATTATAGGTATTACAAGGGAAGTTCTATATCAGGGGTAGGCAACCTTTTTGAGCCGGGGGCCGGGTTGCTGTCCGGGGGGGGCCGAATTTTTTTAAATTCAGGGGCTGAATTTTAAAAAATTAAAAAATATACATGCACACTCTCTCAGCCCAGAAAAGCCATGGCAAAACCCCTATGGAGATTTTGCCAAGAAAACCCCAAAAACAAGTAATAACTACAATAATCAATATCATCATGGCGGGCGGCGGCGGCAGGACCGGCCTGGGGCCGGTCCAAAGGCCTTGGGGGGGGGGCGCATCCGGCCCCCAGGCCTTAGGTTGCCTACCCCTGGTTTATATGATAAAAAGTAAAGAGTAACTTAAAGATATTTTACCTGATCATTCTGGACTGAAACTGGGAAATTGAATAGGAGCCAGAGTTTTGCATTGCAACTTGTGTGGCCATTGCAAATTTCCAGCCTCTGAAAATTAATGAATACCATGAATACAACTATAATAAACAATGGACAATGCCAGGTTTCAAAACTCCATATACAGAAGGCTTATTTCACATATTAAATTATCACCACATTGGAAAGAAGATTAGAAGAACTTTTCTCTGTTACCTATTTTCTTCATGTGAGCAATTTTAAACACACACCCATCTTTAATCTAAAACTGTATATAGCACAACTCAAATTTTGCCATGTGACTGCTTCCATCTCTGTTTCTGAAGATGGAAAATGAGATTTCAGTACACTTCGTACTACATGACTACTTCTAAACCAATAAACCATACACCACAAAAATAAGTAGGATTTGTGAGAACAGGGTGGTAACATGTAGCATTAGTTTCATGACTTCCTGTTACTTACCACCATACTTATTACACACCCTTGTATCAAGTTTCACACTTCTTGAATCAGGTTTCAGGATTCTTATTAAAAAAAATGCTTCAAGATAAAGTCATTTCTCTCAGAACTTTTACCAAGTGCTGTAATTAATTGTGTGAAATAATGACATATTATTTCAGAGAGCCTTTGAAACCATAGAGCAGACCTGTACAACTTGGTAGTAGGAAGGGGCCAACATTAAAATAGGCTAAACTTCTTGGGGCTGCAGATAGGTTTTAATTAAATAACTATATTAATAAACATTTATAGTATAAATGATAATATATTATTTAATATTAATTATTAAATATAATTTGCATTAAACATATTAAATATTATTAATATTAAATCCATCCTTTTCCTCCTCTGTCTGGCTCTTTCTTCAGGAGAAAGCCGGATGGTGGAGGAGCCTTGCAAGATAAACATTTGCCTGTCCTCTGCTGCCACTGTCTGGCCTTGTCCTCGGGAGAAAGCTGGGAAGTGGAGGAGCCCTGAAGGGCGAGCGTTTGCCTGTTCTCCTCCTCCACCACCCCCCAGCCTTCTCCTCAGGAGAAATCTGAGCAGCGGAGGAGCATTGCAATTATTCACCCCTCCTCATCCTCATCATCCACCAAGCCTTCTCCTCAGGAGTTAAGTGAAACAGTGGAGGAACCTTGTAGGGCATTGGTGGCGAACCTATGGCATGTGTGGACGCATGCACCGTCACCCCAGCATAGAGTTTGCCAGAGTTCATTACTAAAAAGCCAGAGGGATGCAGCACTTTGCGATAAATAAGTGGGTTTTGGGTTGCAGTTTGGGCACTCGGTCTCTAAAAGGTTTGCCCATCATTGCTGTAGGACAAGTATTTGCCCGTCCTACTCCTACTCCACTGCCTGGTTTCCTCCATAGGAGAAACCCAGGTGGTGGAGGAGCCTTACTCAGCAAGTATTTGTCCATCCTCCTTCTCCGCTACCTGTCCTTCTCCTCTGGAGATAGCCGAACAGGAGAGGAGCCTTGTAGGGTGAGTGTTTGCCCTTCCTCCTCCTCCTCCACATGGCCCTCTCCTCAGGAGAAAGCCAAGCAGAGAAGGAGCCTTGAAGTCATTCCACATCCTTGCAGGCTGGGCTGCCAGAAATCCTTTGGTAGGCTACATGTGGCCCTCGGGTCGTATGTTGCACAGGCCTGGCACAGAGAACAGAACCAATCTAATATTTCTATGTCAAATTAGCTGGCACATGCTTCAAAACAAAGGAGGGTTACCAAGCCACCCTTCCCATAGTACCTCAGCTTCAAGGAATTCTAACAACCCAGTACTAAAGAAATAGGTCACTCTAAAAAAAATCCTACCTCTCAATGCAGATGTATACTGGACAGCTAGCTTTTTCAATGGTGGCACATGTGAGTGTAGCAAGCAAGCTCATACAGGGAGATAGGGCTTTTCAAATAACTATGGTCCAAAACACACTGAAGAAATAATCCAGTTTGAGACTGCTTTAACTGCCCTGGCTCAGCGCTAGAGAATCCTGGGAATTGTAGTTTATTGTGACACCAGAGTTCTCTGACACAGGTTAAATGGCTCTGAAAACTACAATTCCCAGAATTCCCTAGCACTGAGCCAGGACAGTTAAAGTGGTCTCAAACTGGATTATTTCTGTAGTGTGTTTTGGACCAAATTTTTGACACTATAGGATCCTGATCACTTTCTAGGAAGTAGGTCATGGCAGAATGGCTCTATGTAACTAATAAAGACCAAGATCATAACAGGCTTCCAATCCCAAAACCCAGTTTGAACTTTCTTTTTGTAGCCCTATTCAAGCAGGTGATGCACCCTTTCCTCTGAATATGATTTGAGGAGAAACAGATTGATAGTTAGTAGTCCCCTATGAAAGTGTTGTTGTTGAGTGCCTTCAAGTCATTTCTGATTTATGGCAATCCTATGGTGAATCTATCACAGGATCTTCTGGGGGGGGGGGCTGTTTGTCATTGCCATTCTCTGAGGCTGGGCCAGCATGACTTGCCCAGGTTCACCCAGTGGATTTCATGGCCAAGCAGGGATTCGAACCCTGATCTCCAGAGTCCTAGTCCAACTCTTAAACCACTCCACTCAATTGGCTTTCTGAAAGTGGTATAGATATTGGGTATTAGGCCAGTGGAATTATATAATTCCATTTTCATTTGAAGATAATACAAGAGTCAACAAATGGCTCCAATGGACCCTGAAGATTGTGGATGACTTCTACATACCTCTCCAGCATCACTGAACATAGAATTGTTAAGTATTTTAATTGCTTTATTTGGATGAGTGTTAATTGTTCTACTCCTGAACACTGCTAATAGTGTGCTTTAAAAAGGAGTATGCCTAAATACCCTAAAGGCACCAGATCTGATTTTGGAAACTAAGCAGGGTCAAGCTGTGGTTAGAACTTGGATGGGAAGCCATCAATGAATGACAGGTGCTGTAGACTCTATTTCAGAATTGGCAAAACCACATCTTGAGTATTCCTTGCCTAAGAAAACCCCATGAAATTCATGGGATCCCCATAAGTTGACACATGACTTGAAAGCACACACACACACACAAGCAAATCACTAAAGAATAAATTATATGAAGAACCCTCGTCTTACCTGTCTGCTATTGCTTTAGCCATAAAGTAATCTTCAGCGATATACTGTGCAAAAGCTATAAGTCCTCCAGCTTGGTCCAGGACATCTTTTCTCATCAAGCAAGACATTCCTGTTACACATTTGAAACCAGTTACATGGGCAGAAATATATGTCCTTGGATGGGAAGTGCCAAAATATACCTGTTCAAAACAAGAGGAGGAGGAAGAGGTTATGGCTAAGTACTCCCACTTTCCATAGTTTTACCTATAGTAGCATGCATTTCTTTAACACACTGATCATATCATTTTAATCCTCTCATATAATTTTAATCCTCTGCCTGCTGTGTGTGGAGATGCCATACACACTTTATTTTTAATTACGCATAATTAGCATAATGGCTATCATAGCAGATGTTTGTAAAAAAACTGCATCAACTTGGAAAGGCAAGACACATCTTACTCTTATGCAAC